GAGAAACCGGATTACCTGGCATCTAGATGAAATGAGGGACATGAACACACTAGTCGCAATTAATGATGTGATATACTGGTAGAGAATGATCAAACTAGACTTGATGATTGCATGGAATGGATCAAACTGAGTGTCACAATGTTATGTTGCCCTAGACAACATTGAGGTTTTAGATTTTGCAATCTCTGCAGCTTTACGAGTGGTCTCCTTGATCATACTACTATTGAGGAGAGGGTGAACCTTCAGGTGGTCTGCCTTGAACAGACGGGTCAATACAAAATCAAAACCCTGAGCTGCCTTGACCGCATTGTTACGAAACCTCTTGATGCCAAAAACTTCGATGGCACTGCCGACACCAAACAAAGGGGAGGATACCCAAGCAGACTTTTCACAGACTGTCCAGGAAGGGTTCTCACTGCTGACTCTGTAGACACACTTCTCTTCCACGTTCTGAAATACACAACAACACAGCATTTCATGGATAGTATTGCAGCCCCATTGTGCGGGTTTCGTTTATACAACTGAATTACTCTTTTCGGTTTGTCCTCTTCTGCTTTCACAATTAATGGACGAGTGAAGTACTGTGTTGTAGGTTATGGCTAGGTTGCAATATCCTGAGCTACTGCCGTAACCTGCCAATCATAACCATCTTCGGGACTCTTCCAAATACCTGGCCCAAATGATTCCTTGTTTGAAAATTCCTATTTAGGACCTCAAGAGATCATATATTTAAAAATCTGGAACAGCAACACTACAAACTACGCTTCGCATTATCATATGATTTCATTTGAACCAAACTCTCGAGTCATTAGTAGAAGTTGTAAGTTATACGCCAGTCACGCGGGTGACCGGTGTTCATTTGTTCACCGGGTGATCATTTTTGTCTACCTTTAAAAGAGCGGTTGGCACGTTGTGTTGTGGTTTACAGCTAGGCTGCTCCCTTCGTCCCAACACATCCGATTTCAGCAAAGATCTGTGGAAAGTGAGACATAGGAAGACAGCGCGAGACGATTCTTGACAGTTTTTGGCCATATCAAGGAGGGGTGTCAGCACACGAACTGATACACGCAGCTGCGGATAGCGGAATGTTCAGAGGCATGATCGCTCACGCCAGTTTTCAGGGCACATGATGATGATGATTGTCTTATAGTTATGTTTAATCTGAAATGATAGTGAGGTACAGTCTGTTCAATCAGATGTTTTCGACTGCAGGATGGTTTTTAACGAATATACGGGTCCTCTTAGCAGTAGCATAGAAGGTTAGGTGGTACCCAGTGTAAAACATTCCTTGTTCTCACCCTCCCCGGCTCCTCAATACACACACACACACATGGGAGACTTTAAGTTATAGTTATGACTAGGTTATATGCGCCATATAAAATGGCTTAGTATTACCATCCACCAAATAACCCTGAAAATGACTTTTTCAGTGTTGATGCGATCAAGTGAGACAGACCCACTACTGTCTCGAACGGCGACGAAGTGGTCTACCGACCAGCCAATGGGTGATCCGGTCGCCGATGAGCAAAACTCTGGAACATGACTAATGTCCAGAAAAGCCATCTCTTTCTGAGTTTACAGTCGGTAAACGCGAAGATTAGGAAGATATCAGTGTCCAGGTTGGTGCTTACTGGGGTACCGCCTGTATCTGATGTATATTGACAATTTAAATAAGTCACATTAGGTGTGATTAATGAATGAAGAACCGGTGTTTGACTCGTAAGGGGCAGAACAGAACAAATATGTGGTATAGTGATGGCCCCCACTAAATCACATTTGGTAACTTGCGTGGCTTAGACTAACCCAGGGCTCCTGCTGCAGACAGAACCCACTTCCGGCCAGCCCTGTAGTCTGCAAGTTTAGGCTCTCAGGTTTTCCACAACACCGACAATTGAAGGACATTCGTCTCCTTCCATGAATATCTTAGGACAATAGACAGGCAAGACTGTTGTTTGCTTTCACATTGTTCATTTTTTTTGTGAGATTTCTTGATGATGATTGAACTAACAAGACAAGGACACTGCGTGTTTAGTTAGTGCACCACCGTTAGTGTAACTCTTTTTTTTTCTTTATTTATACAACTTTCCATGCAGCCATTGTGATTGACTGGCAAAACAAAACATTTCTCATACTTTCTTAGGTTATGTAGTTTTTCCACGCATACGTTTGACTTTTTTAGTAGAATCGTAGGAGATAACAAGCAACTACGGCCAGTTTTCGTTAGTGTGCTGATACAGACTGTATTTGAAACTAAACTACTAAACATTTCAAAGATTCGAACCCAAGCAAGGTAGTTGTTTTGAGTTACGTCATCTTCTTACTTTCAACACATAAACTTAAAGAGGAACATAAAAAGGAACGAAAATACGATAGAAATTAGATACTTTAGTCAAATTGTTAAAATGCCCTCTACACCAATAAAACCAGCACAGTTAGATAGCTGTAAACAATCTCTTTCCAATGGTACCTCATTTAATCTTGTATGTCATTTCTGAGCTGAGATATATTATGTAGGTTTTTGTGGAAATGAGATGTAAAAAACAGCTGTTGAAAACTTGTGTCTGAGAAACAAGAAGTTTTCTCTGCGCAACCAAACTGCGCAACTTTCGTTTTGGCTTTGTTTTCATTGGACAAGATGGCAGACAATTTTTCTCAGATACAGCTACATAATAGCGATTGCATGAAAAATGTCACTGTAAATCGAAATAGCTACAGATAAGAAAGACATTTTATACACAAATATAAAATTGGACGGAGAATTCAATTATAACTAGCATTACCATGTCTGGTAATATTTAAGGCCTAAAGCCAACCGTGAATACTTAGCGCTATTTTCAATCAAACTGATGTAACAGAAAAACTGAGGACGTCCGGCTGTCGTAGACATGCGCTGTTAATCGAGTTCGTTCCCGCCGTTTTCAGCTAGTTATAGCTGGTGAAAATCACACCAATCGCAAAATTTCATGAGAGATTAGGACCCATCCCGAAACCCCAGCCGACATTTCCCAAACAAGTTTCAGACGGTTTCCATGGTAACGGAAATTGCCAAAAAGACCGCAAATTGTCAAAACTGTAGTCGCTATAGAAATATTTTACTATTATCATCCTGTTGTGGTCAGACTGTAATATAATAGCTTTAAGTATGTATTGTCCTCTAATCCTTACTTTATTCTTTTACTTTTACTGTTTTGAGTGCCTGTTGTAAACACCTGTGCATTTCTAAAAAATCTTTGATCTGCTGGTTTTAAATCCAGAAAGTTGGTGAATCAAGATTTCGGCTATCCTCTGAATAACAGGCACAAAAGATGGCGGCCCAAAACAGGGCCTCAGTCACGTGTCAATTGTGCACTTACGGCGACCTAATTTGCGGTTTTCCGGGGACAACCGCCACCGCCGAGGGTATCCTTGCAAAGCTACAGGAGATGCGGAATCTGCTGTTCGCGAGTCCCAGCCATCTAGTTTAACCCAAATCCACGTCGCGTGAGCGGCATGGGGGATACTCTCAGCGGTGGCGGAAGTCCCCGGAAGTCCGCAATTGACACTTGACTGAGGCCCTGTAGGGTATATTTTCGGCCTTGATAATTTGGGACCGTTATTCGGAGGATAGCCATGTGCTGTTTTAAACTGTTAGTTAATTGTCACTCAGAGGCTCTAAGTTCTCACAGAGTGCTGAACACAATTTCTAAGAGAAAAATGGCAGATAAATGTACCATTACACACATGCTATTTACTAATTACTTTGTACAGTTATATACAGACTGTAGACGCAATGATTTCAGTGTAGCTTAGCCATAGTATGGTACCATCTATTTGTTTAGAGCACTTTCCTTCTTTTACACCCTAAATACAGTAGCAATGAAACTTTCTGTGTAAACTCATCGGAATAGCTAGATTACCAAACAGCTGATCGCTTAGCTGTCACTTTTGTAAATTAACCATCCGAATCACTTTCCGGATTATCTAAATTTTCATTATCATTATCAAAATTGAAAACATTCAGCTGGAACAATTTCTGAGCTTCGGCCACAGAAAGACACACAATCCGGCCTGTACTTGTGGTTGGAACACTGGTGTCCATTTCGTCGAACACGAATTACAAAATGCAGGGTCTGGAAAGAAATGCGATCAGTTAATCCCAGTCTGGCATGGTGTTTTTTTTTATGACCCTGTATATTGATATATGTAATTGTGTGTTGATATCTATAATTTGAGGCACTGGGCGGTGGTCACTACCTGCCAGTTGGTCATCAGCTACTTGTTTGTTTTAAGCTGCAGTTTCATCTGTGGTGAAAGCCAGGTCAGAGCTTCTTGTTCTACTCCATTATCTTGACTAGGAGGTATGCGGATCTCCTGCTTCATTGATCACTTTTACTCTTGTTCTCTTGCACATTTTTCTATGTCCTCTCCCGCGGTGTTCAGCTCGTTATAGCCATAGCTTTTGAAAGTGGCTGTTAAAGTTAACAATTTCAGTACCTTCTCTGTTTATAGCAGTACAGCTTAATGACAGTCCTGTTTAGAGGGCAGTAATAATTAAAAATTGTGCAGATGATATGTGGAAGGAGAGATAGAGGAAGACAACGAGAGAAGATGCTTGACAGTCTTGTTGCATGGCATGGAGGTGTGTCGGCACACGAACTGATACATGCTGCAGGAGATCGCAGATTATGGAGAGGCATGATCGCCCACGCCAATCGGCAAGGCACCTGATGATGATGGTGATGATGCTTCAAATAGTAGTGCATTCAAATTTATATTATTTGTTTTCTGCTTACAGAACACAACAATGGTCAAGTTTATGACAGCAACAAGTGCATTCAAATTTATATTATTTGTTTTCTGCTTACAGAACACTACAATGGTCAAGTTTATGACAGCAAGTAGTGCATTCAAATTTATATTATTTTGTTTTCTGCTTACAGAACACAACAATGGTCAAGTTTATGACAGCAAGTAGTGTATTCAAATTTATATTATTTGTTTTCTGCTTACAGAACACAACAATGGTCAAGTTTATGACAGCAAGTAGTGTATTCAAATTCACATGGGACCAGGTGGCTTCTGGGATGTGGCAGAGATATCCAAACCCCAACAGGTTGTGCTCTCACATTTTTATCTAGTCTGCTCATCATCATTATCATGATCTTTTTGTCCACAAGAAACCTCAGAACCAACACTTCCAGTGTGTACCTTTTGCCTGTGAAACCTACCTTCCCTACTTGCTGTAGAGATGTGTTCATGAGACATGTAGCTAACAGAATTCAGTGCATCTGCAACTGCGCACATTTTTATTGTGATTAGGCATTTACTAAAAGAAACAATATTGGGGAAAAGGGGGGGGGGGGGAATCCGAATCCGTTTGATAAAATGACTCTTCATTTGTAGAAATCTCTGCACCATATTTTTCCCAGTGGCAGTTTATTCTGTGCTGCATTCAGATGCAGATAAGTACTCCATTTACTATCTATAGTATTTGCTCATACTTTGGATGATGCATTGAGTTTGGGAAATTGTAAGTGTGAGACATCTGTAAAATGTAAAATGGTTGTGTTTTTAAGGATTTTTGTTTTTCTAGGAATATCCAAAAAAATAGAAAGTATGGGAGATTGGGTTTTTTTTTTTTTAGACCCTGGGAGAAAGGGTTTACTGACCACCATAGTGTTTTGCCCACATCTGGAGGTCTTCAACAGCATGTATAAATTCCTGTGCTGACACATTTCTATGATGTAATGAAAGTCTCAAGAATCTTCTCTTGTCTTTCTGTCTATAAACGTTTGAAGTTGTCATCACTTGTACTGCACGCTTCTTATAATGTGCCAAAAAATAATGACAATTAGTTCTTTGGTTTGTGATAACATGTCTTCTTGTCTTACCTTCATTCTAAACCTTAGATTATTGATTTGACTTAAAAAGGTGTGTTAACCATTCTTCTATAAATTAACTCACTTAGAACATGTATGTCAAACTTAAGATTTCCCGAGGTCCTTATGGGTCAAATTCTGCCGTGAGTGCAAAAGTGGCAACTAATTGGAGAAATTTAATACAAATTATTGTGGAATTTTTCTTTTGTGCAAAAGGCCGCATGTCCCCAGCTGTCCGCCAGTTTGACACATCTGTCTTAGAGGATATTATGGCTAGTTTACCTTCAGTGCTATGTTAAAACTGATTCTGTGTAACATGTGCTAATTCTTTTGCTAATCTCCTTTCTGATGCATTTTGCTTTGTCTTGCAGTCCAATAAAAATGTGTATTTGAAGTGTAGTTGTGCCAAGGATACCACAGTTATAATTGTTTTCAGCACCACCACCCAGACTTTAGTGTCTGCTTCTATTACTATAGCTGCTTTAAGGTGTCTTCATATGAGTGCACATCAGTGCAATAATTAGTTAATCTGTTCTGTTGGTTAAGCCTAGGTTCAGCCAAGAGATATAGTGGCTATTGTACTGGCCTCCCTATACTGCGGTCCATTTAAAAAAACCAATGTAAGAGTCTTTTCCAGCCATATACCGCCTTTGCAAAAACAAGTTCTCATCACCCATTTTTTAATACTCTGACTTAGTACATGTGTCACCCTGCAGGACTTTTTCTTATTTGACATTGTCCTTCAGAGTTAAATTGAGAGATGCCATCTTAAATTTAACCTTTTTGAATATTTGTATGAAGCTTGATGTATAATTCTGCTGTTCAGAAGGTATGTTTTAACTTCATTTATAATTTTACAGTGTCATCATCATGTAGCAGGTCCTTTGCAGAACATCGCTGTCATTAAGGTCTGCCTTGGAGAAATTCGGTCTCTCGCCAGCTCTCCCGCCTCTTGTACTTTCATATTCAATGCATAACTTATATCCTGTGCCCATCTTCGTGTTGGTCAGCCCCTGCCTTTCTGTCCTGGTACCAAGCCTTCTGCTATTATTTGTTTCCAGTTTGCCATATGGCTTGATATGACCAAAATATTTCAGCTTCCGAGACAGGATGCTGTTTATTAGCCAATCTTCATTGATGTTCAGATCTTTTAAAATATCAATATTTCTCCTCTTCTTTGTCCATGACATTCTGAGCATCTTTCTAAAGCATTTCAGCTTAAAAGCTATTTTCTTTCTTAAGGACTGGGAGGTAGTCCACGACTGGCATCTGTATGTTGCTACAGGAAAGATGCTTGCTTTCAAAAGTTTAATTTTGATTTCCTTCTACAATGTAGAGGTTGGTATATAATTTGGTGGGAAGCTTAGACCTCACATACTGTCCAGGGAGGGTTCTCACTGCTGACTCTGTAGAGAAACACTTCTCTTCTACGTTCTGAAATACACGACAACACAGCATTTCATGGATAGTCTTGCAGCCCTATTGTGGGAGTTTGTACAACTAATTTAATGTTTTCTTTTTGTCCTCTTCTGCTTTCGCTATTAAAGGACGGGTAGGGCACTGTCTTGTGGGTTATGGCTAGGTTGCGATACTGCTACATAATGATGTTCAAAGTAGCTATTTAAAATTGGATGTAAAACTTGATGTAATTAATTCCTTTAGCTAATACACAATACGATATGTATGCTTGATATTTGTACCTTGCTATATACAGCTTGGTTTTGAAATTGTCGATTTACAAGTTGATATAGCTCTTGATGTGTAATTTTGCAATTTATAACTTGTACTAGAACTTTGTATATAATTTTATAATTTAAAACTTGATGATTTCAGCAAACATGTGTTGACTGAAGATGTCTTATCACGGCGGATAGAAGATCAGAAGTTGGTCTCACTCCGCATTCTCACAAAAACAAATAAAATTCCAAAATGGGGCGAACGTTTTGTTGGTCAGAATAAAAACATACTGATCATCGAAGAGTCAGTGGTCGACCCCAAAGAGAAGACATTCACAACATACACACGCAACGTTGGGCTACAGAAAGTTTTGGTAAGAGTTTCTTATTGGTTTAAATAAAAGTCATTAATACCATGAAAATATATCAAACTGCGGAGCTACTGTGGAGAAGTGACTAGACGTTTGCTCACTGGTTAGAAAACGTTTTAACACAAATGTTCAGATTAGTTTATTGTTCTATTACAAATCTGTATTACTTACTGTTGCATTGTCTCCCTGTAACATTTAATAATTTTAAATTAGACTGTTTCTGCAGTTGCTTTTTAGGCGGTTAATGGTTAATTGTTTTCACACAATTGAACCGCTATACTGAATGTTGAGTTGAGTTGACCTCACAGCACTTAGGGCATTCCCATGTGTGCTCCGTCCTCATCTTCAGCAGCCAGCGCAGAGTTCCATTACTGATGGTACCAGTCATAATCTGGTTATATGTCCGTCTTGCCTTTCCTCTGAGTGTAGTCAGTTGGCCAGACTCTCTGGTTACACCCAGGTGCCTCATTCCCTCCAGGCCATAATAATCTTGTTTCTCTGCTGATTCTGTTGTTTGTTCCCAAAGGGCCTTGACCAAATCTGCCTTGTCATGAATCAGTTCACCGCCCAGTGGTGCAGATCCGATATACTGATTGTACTGTAAAGATGATAATATTTACTTCATGCACACACCTATCCAGGCCATGTTGAGTTTGATTCTACTGATTTGTGATTGTGACTTCATGGTGCTTATTATGTTGGGATGCATTATCTTGGCATCCAGAAAAATATAACATGAATATTGCGATGTTCTTGAATTGGAGGAGTTTCTATCAGACTTGTTTGCAACGTTCAATCATCAGTTGAGTTGTGACATGTTGCCTAGTGACAGGGCTCTCTTGATAGGAACATTTCTCTGCACTCAGATTCAACACACTACCCAGTGTACAAAGCGTGGTTGCAGTTCTAAGCTTGGATACAGATCCAGTGTTTGTGCAGACAATATGTTGTGTTGACTTAGCAGACTTGCCCATTGCCCAGTAAAACACTGATTTTGTTAGCAAAAACTGTATTGTTCAGTCAACAGATGATCTTTGATCAGATGGTCAGAAGTGCTGTAAAAGCGTCAAGAAATAAATCGTACATAGACTTACTGTTGCATTCCTCTGCTATACAGTCGGCAGCTTCCATCGCTGTTATTTACTGCAGTTCTTCAACAAATGATCATCGATCAGGCCTTAGAAATGCTTACAAGACTCACAATTGTACCAGCGTAGACTTACAGTTCCATTCCTCCGCTATGTAGCTAACAGCTTCTATCACTTCTCACAATTTGCAGTTTTTCAGTATATCTGTTGCTGGTTTAGCCAAACTCAAATCATGGGCTTTGCCCCATTTGCTTCTTGTAGCTTTAGGATTCTCTCGATGGGACCAGGTCCCATTACTGCAATGACTCTGGGCTCTACTCGCTGGCAGCCTTCTCAGAGACACTGACAGTTTAACATTATTTTGAACATGAACAAAGAATGTTGGAAGAACCCACAGCTGATGCGATACAGAACCTTCAATGAGTTCAATTAACTTTTTCTCCATTAATATGCAGGAAGTAGAAAACATCTGGGGACCACTACATCGGCCATATACGGCAGCATCAATAACTTCAGTTGACTTTACATGTTAGCTTTCATAAGGTGATGAAACACAACACTTCCAAACCCCAAGGTTTGCAACTATCCACACTGATAGCAAACAAACGACACTCAAGATGGCTAGGGTTTCTAGGAGCTCACGGTCAACACTTGAGCAGGCATTCACTCGCTGATACATTTACTCGCTGATACATTGATTCAGCTTTCACTTTCCCATCAAATTATAATAACAAGACTGAATCTTCTAGTTCATTCCAAGCTTAAATAATCTGTTTCTCTCGCGAGTTATCGAATATCAACACATGATTCACGCTTCCGGCACTCCTGTCACGCTTCAGCCAACTTCCATGCTTGCCACAAGTTATTCATTATACGTCGCACTCAGTACCAGTCAACCAAATTCGAGCACATAATTTAAGTTTAGTATTTAACCTCATTAACAGTGAGAGTATTAATTAAAAATGAGAAAATGACTCATCACATGATCTTCCCTTGAAGGCAGACCAGTCGACATACAGTTGCCCTGGAAGGGTTCTCTAGGGGCCACACCTGTAGATAAAGGGAATGCAATCATCAAGTCTAGTTTGATCATTCTCTACCATTATAGAGTCTTTCATTCAATCACATCATTAATTAAAACTAGTGTGTTCATGTCACTCATTTCATCTAGATGCTCGGTCATCCGGTCCCTTCGCGGAGACACTGATCATGCCAATAATTCAAACTTTGATCCTATCATGTCAATCATATCATCTAGATACTTGTGTCATCCTTTCTCTTTGTTAATTAAGACACTAATTTGTTTATACCATTAATCAAGACATTAATATGTTAATGTCAGTAATCAAGTCACTGATTTGATCACATCACTCATTTCATCTAAATCCTTGTGCCCATCATCAAGTCGAGTTGGTAGCCTGATCTTATCCACTATTTCATTAGGATTCTAGACAAATTTTGTCAAAAAAAACAAAAGTGCCAGAATCATGTACATAACCAGTGTGGGTGATATCCCTGGCCTCCAGACTAGCAGGCACAGACACATAATCCCTTTACAGTAGCTTGTTGGACAGTCTAGTCACAGCTATTGTTTGTTAATGCTGCCCACATAACCAACACAACATATAGATACTGCAAGCTGTGAAATCTGAGAATTCAACTTTTGAGGCATTGACCAACTCCAGATAGAACACATTAGCTCAGTGTTGTATGATTTGGTTATTCTTCAAAGGATTTTTGAATAATGTGTCATGTCTATGCTGCTCTTTTCCCGGGTGAGCAGGCGTCATCCATCCTTGGAATGTTTTAGTTTAATATTGTTTGGGGAATATGGAAAGTGTATATTTATTTCTTGGGCTACAATATTTTGGTCTTATTTATGGTCTTTCTAAATGATTTATGTAATGCCAACGTCTGTTAGTTCTGTTGTTTAAATCTGTTTATATTCTGCCACAGTTCTCTGGAACAAAGCATTCTGTATGTGGTTTCTGTAACAGTTAAGTCAAGGATACATTGGCTAAATAGCCTGACATCATCACTGTGTTCTGAACTTTTTGTAGAGGCTTTAGTTTTTATTGGGGAAGAATCACTGCCATAGACTCAGCTTAGAACTACCTCAGAGTTGTGTCAGCAGGAATGTTATTGTCTTGGATGAAAATGTTAACACTTCAACATCATCCTCATACACGGTTGTGTCACACTTCATTAGCACATCTTATCACAAACATGCAGCTTTTCTGTATTAACCAGTGACTATACACATGAGAACAGCATTCCTATTATAGAAACAAAATGTAGAATCAAGGCTTTTTTGAATTCACTTGCTTTAGTAAAATTCTGTTTACATGATGTAGTGAACACAAAACAAATGATCGAGGTGAAGTAAGTATGTATATGGGAATCAAGAACTACTTTTGTCAGTGACAAAATATTGAAGTCTTGCCTGTTTTGGGCATATCACATGTCCTTACACATTCTCAGAGATCTCATCCTTGAGGTGTAAATGTTGTGGACTACAGACCTGGATGGAGCAAACTATGTATCTTACAGAAACAGTTCTGCTCACTTAGAGTTTAGTACATTCCATGCTTGAAGGAACAAGGCATAGCAGGCTGGTGTAGTGATTAGTTATATTGTCCATTTAGCTGTCAAATAATTAGACATGATAATGTTCCACCTAATAATTTGTGTTGACAATGGGATGGTGTACTGTCCACTTTGTTGCTGAGCAAAGTATCCATAAATTCCAAGAATGATTGTTTAGTTACTGATTGTGTTGTTGTCAGATTCCAGGATTGCTAGAAGTATATAATAGATCCAACATAAGAATAAGCATGTGTGGTGTAGTTAGCTAGAGCTGTGACCTGACTGTGCTGTATTTGCTTATATATAATTAACCTGAATGCCACCGTATTGATTCTGCTTGTATTTGTTGAATTTCAACAAGGCAGTATGTGTTTTGTGCAGTGAGAATCACTTGAAAACAAGAAAATGTTCTCTCTAACAAATACACAATGTATTTTAGATGCACTTTGTGTGTTTGTTTTATTTCTGCTAACCTTGTGGATGTGCATTTGCTAAAAAAAAAAAATGTGTAGCAGGCTTAGACTTCTTCTTCTTCATCTGCCTTTCTATCACCCAGTGGAGCATAGGCCCTCAACCAACTCATGCCAAGTTGTTCTATCCTTCGCCATTACCTGGAACTTTCCCCATGTCCTCCCCATCTTTCTAACTTTAATCTCCAGGTCTTTTTTCCACACCGTGCCATACTTCTTTTTCTTGAAGAGCCTTCCCTCATCTTGTTTGGCTTGGTTTTACTTGCTTCTCTTTTTGACTTATCCATGGCTGGTTGGTTTTTGTGGCTATAATTTTCTCTTATGACATGCCTGGTAGGGTGCAGTGTCACTATTCTTTGCTTCCCGTGAGGGCCCCCGTGACACACTGGCGACTTAGACTTTGCGAATTGACTGTTTAGTTCCTCACTAAGAAAAGTGATGTTTGATATGTTTAACTGTGTTAATTAGAAAATATAAATAGGAGTGTTCACTGAATAACATGGGAGTGAAGAATTAAAAGGATTACTCCACCCTAGAACCGGTAGCTGCTTGAACAAGTGGTATCTCAGTCTGTTAAGTCTGCCCTGGAGCCTGAAGATTGCTTGAGCAAGTGGTATCTCAGTCTGTTAACTCTGCTTTAGAACCTGAAAAAGCTGCTTGAACAAGTGGTATCTCAGTCTGTTAAGTCTGCCCTAGAGCCTGAAGATTGCTTGAAAAATTAATATCTCAGTCTGTTTAGTCTTCCTTAGAGCCTGAAGATTGCTAGAATAGGTGATATCTCAGTCTGTTAAGTCTGTCCTAGAGTCTGAAGATTGCTTGAACAAGTGGTATCTCAGCCTAAGTCTGTCCTAGAGTCTGAAGATTGCTTGAACAAGTGGTATCTCAGCCTAAGTCTGTCCTAGAGTCTGAAGATTGCTTGAACAAGTGGTATCTCGGTCTATTAATTCTGCTGAGAGCTTGAGAAATGTATGTCAAAAGAAAACAAAAACCATTCACTTGTAAAGTTGGAACAAATGGCTGTTGCATTGATAAGTATGTATTCTCTTCTGCATTTACCCTGAAAATAGTGGTTAGCATATTGTGTTGAGGTTTACAGCTAGGCTGTAATATCTGCACCTTTAAGCCCAACACATGCCACATTCAGCAAACCTCTTAACTCCTTTTACAGCCTGATTGTTGGGATCAGTGTGTCTACCCTTGTTCTGTATCCCACACTAGGATTATGGATAAGTGATTCTGAAGGCCCCCAAAGCTTTTTTAAATATTATAAATTGTTCTTCTTCTGAATTCATCTGAAGATGTAAATGCCTTGTTTCCGTTTAAAACATGGCTACCATGTTTGTGCCTTTGCGCCAACACATCCAACTTCTGCAGACATTTTATGGCTCCGTAAGCCTTCCTGGTGTTATAAATTCAGTGGTACACTTGTGTTCTAGACCAGAGCTCACCAGCCTCTCTACACCTGCAGTCTGACAAAATGCTAGACATTCTTCTGCTGATGGCTACAGAAGAAACAAAAACATCTAGATTAAAACTGGAAAAAAAAATTTGCCATCTCCAGAATGTAGGTTATCTGCAGTGCATCTGCTGCTGTCTGTAGGGGATATTACATGGTAGGGTTTAATCACTCTCATGCCAGTGTCTTGAAGCCATAAGAACAGTCTTGTTTTCTAAACAGCGGGAATGCAGAAATGGAACCCTGAGACATTGAAGATTGGATTAACTAAATGATTGGACTGAGCCACAGAGCCGGACTTACTGTGACAGCCTGTCTGTGTATTAAATATAATTATTACATTGACATTTGTAGCTGTTGCGTCGCCTGCTTCTACATACAATTAGGAAAATCTGATGTATATGGCTGAAGTGTTGTTTCTGAGAGGTAAAGTGCTTCAATAACATCCATTAAAATTGATTTCACTAATCTCTAAACAACAGAGCTGTCATAAATGCGGATGGAATGCTGTGAATTAAATCCAGTTATAAAACTGAAATTTTTAGCTAATGCAGCATCTGCTGCTACATTAAAGGAAAAAAAGATCCATTTTCACGCCATGTAAGACCCAGATGTCGCCAGATTTGTACTTCAAGTGTCAAACCGGAACTTTTACTAAAACTAACAAGTTCAGAATAGTAACAGAGATGAGATGTTTTCGAAAAGCTGTTTAAGTAACAAGCAGAGATGGAATTCAAAATGGAAACAAGTAGAAGCAATTTAGATAATACGGACACAATCAATACA